TATTAGACCTTACAAAAATGCCACCTGATAGAAAGAATAAAAAAATGATTTGTGAAATTATTGATACCAGTGACGTTGAACATTTTTTATACTTAAGGCAAAACCCACCCGCACAAGACATGCATTTTTATAATATGCACTATAAATTATTTTTCACAGCAAAAACCTTATTTAGCTATGTAAACATAGACTATCAATTCGCATGTAAGTAAATTAATAATAGATAATACACAAAGCTAAGGACACCTCTGATTTCGTGATAGTTAATCTTAATCAACAATGACAACACTTAATATCTTTAGTGACCCACTTTACATATTTTAGTTATAAGGCCTTAAAAAAATCTAATTCGGTACACCACTGACTGATACCCAGTAACAATTTGTATTGAAAAAAATCTAATTGAAACTACTTAATTTAAAAATAAAAACTATACATTAAGCTTATTGTAAATAGTAAAATAATAGATATTATATGTACTTTATTTTTTTTTTGTTTTATACAATTTATAGAATTGTCTTAATTCTTATTAAGTACTAGTACTCCATAAAAAAATAGATTTTCGTCTTGATAAAGCCCATGACATGATACCATGGCACAAAAATAGATCTTATTTTAAAATAAATGCATTTTATTGAAAATTATGAAAAAATTGAAATATGTGTAATGATTGCAATGTGTATTAAAATCCAATGAATAATTATTCTATTGTTATTTTGGGGGTGTGGGCACATAGTCCTCACGACTTACTTTGCAAATAATTTGTATATCCTTTCCCTCATAGAAATTCCTGAGAACGCTACTGGAGAACTTATTCTGTATATTCTATTACATTTTGAATAAACCTCAATTTTAATATCTTATTTGCGTGTCGGTCAGTAGTCTTTGAGATTCCACCAGAATTTTAGATTCCTTTTTTCTCCCAGAAATTAGCAATTTGAATTTCATTGTCTTTCAGTAATATTGGTGTCATACTTAATCCTTCTTTTCTCTTACTGAGTACTACAATAAATGGCGACGTTTTCACATTCCCGCTGGACTTCTCCTTAGGCTTTCTCATTTCTGACCATATTAATACGAGATTCCATTGTATTCCGTGCACGCCAAGGTAGGCCATATAATCTAAGGGGGGGAGGGGAATCCTGTTAGATAGGTATACGTTTCTTTACCGTCTTGTTCGGTACGTACGTTATCAGTTCCGTAAACAGCGTTTTGCGAGTATTAGCAATAATTAGCGATTTCAACTTAATATAACCGTATGCTAGCCACGCCACTGCACACTGGATCGACTAATCGATTTCAAACGCGCGCAGTCGTTTCATCGTGAGGAAATTATAATATTATAGTATTATAAACCGAAGTAACCGATAAACTCTACCAATACTATTATAACATTAGTGTCTTGTGCCCGTCGATATTGTGTGTATTATTATTATTATTATGCGATCTCGGGCGATTTGACGTCGGCTTACACCAGTACGGCAAGAGCCGTCGTCGATCCGTTACAATATTATATTCAAGAAATAATATAAAGAGACGACCAATAGGTACCAATAATAATACTCGTACGATGTCGCTGCTGCTGATACAGACAGGGGATCGACAACGCGAGCGTCAATCACGAGGTCGTCGTATAAACGGCGGCGATCGTCAAACGGCGGCGGCGATGATGACGGTAAAACTATTATAATAAAATATACCGGGTGATTCTTTTTTTCATCACGATCCGGCGATTTTCTCTGAGGATTTTAAGTATACATTTGATTGTATACTCGTTGTGAAACTGTTTAAGCTTTACGTTTCAACACTATTTACGGTACTTTCGAATACTTACCCCCCCCCCACTCTTTATGCCTTGAATGAATATTAGCTCATGATTTTCAAATCTCCACCTCCCATTTTAACACAGACATCTGAAAATGCCAATATGTATACAACGCTAATACCGTATAATAATATACCGTTTACGAGTCATTACTAATTGCAGACCGAAGAAGTGTCAGTGTGTAGGTAATATAGTGAATATTTAATTTTCGGTTTTAGACGATAGGTATTAATTTCTTATTCTTATTTCTTAGTCTCAATATTGTTATAATAAATTAAATCATAAATGGTAAATGTCATGGTACCAATCATGATAAGTTTATCGGGAAGCTGAGAATTTTCCGTTGGATATGTTCACCATGGATTGCTCTTAATGTGGATAGATCTAGATATGGTAAATGTTAGTCTATGTTTAAGGCCTATACGCAAAAAAAAAATAAAATGATATCAATATGTTTTTCACGTAAGAACACTTTTTCCGGTAAGCTTAAATTGGCATATGCACCCATGGTACCATATATGGCTATAATTTTATCATTATGATACTAAAATTTTTTTTTTTTTTTTTATAGAAGACGATTTCATTATCTTTTCGAGAGGAAAATAATGTAAACGTATAAGATTCGAATACAAATATACAATTACCAAAAAACACCTAAATAGGTTTATACTAAAAAAAAAACTTCGTGAGCCAGCGGCCGCGTATAAAAGATCGGATCGAGATAAAATAATCACCCTGTACGTAATGTGCACAATTTATATATATATATATACATAATTTATTATTTTCGCAATAAAACCGCCGAAGCCGGTGGGTACCTATCTATATAAATACGTACCTAGTCTGATTGATTGGCACGGTCGACGACGACCGCGACGGCGCGGTGCGACAAGACGATTCGCATCATTATCATAATAATGTTATAGTGCCGTCGCCGCCATCGTATCCGTCGGATATTATTATAAGATTATTATGATTTTTGACATACCTATTTTGCGTACCTCATTATATAATAATATACAAATAGATGCCGAACGAGCGTGCTCCGAGCGGAATAATGTGCGCTCCGACGACGATCCATACCGTAAAATAATACGGAATTATAATATAATACCTGTACAAAAATGGGTAATGAAAACTTAAAATAAAAAAAAAATTTTTACCTCGGCCGTCGAATACGTTGTGAAAATATACCTGTTAGCATACCGTGTATGACCGCAAAATATAATACCATTATGCTGTTATTTTATTGTGTAAGATATTACAATATTATTATAATATTCGTCTGAAATATTGCAGGAGAATAAATAGTGTAGAAAATTACTGTAAATTACGGCCAGTACTGTAAATCGTAAAATAGTGTTCTCTACCCAACTCGACTTTGGGAATTGGTAATTTATAAGTCTATCGGTTAATGTAGTTTTAAAAATTAAATTTTCAAAAATCATTTTTATTACACATCTAGAGCTTTAGCGGAATGAGTAACTATTATTCCAAATTTTTAACTTCATACGATTTATCGTTTTTGAGAATCAGGTCGCTGTGATCAGTATTAGTGGTTTTTTGACTTTTATGTATAGGCATATAAAAGCTAAATATCACTCATTTAAATTTACTATACATATTTAAAATAATAATATAGATAGGTACAGGTTTTACTACATCTATTTTTTTTTTAGATTTTGAGCGTTGTGAGGAATGTATTGGTTTTACAGTGGTGTTTTTTTTTTATGTGAAGACATTATTATACCAGAAAGCTTATTCCGATTATCAAGTATAGCACCTATTCAGAAAAGAAATGTTCTTAAGGTATTAAAATTATTATTATCCTTGGCTTGGAATCAGTCCAGATGGTTTTATTAAACGATTTAATAAATACTGCCTTATTGAAATATAGTGTTCAATAGCAGGGAAAAAATTTAGTGCAACAAAATTGATCATTCAATTGATATATTTAAAAATTATTAATGATAATTTAGTAGTATTAAAGGAAAACTGTTCTTACTATGGTTAAATTAAACTACAACTTCTTTTATGACAATTAAAAACGGCTATTTTAATTATTTATGACTCAGTTGATAATTCAAAAACTGTTATAGAAGTACATTTCAATCCTATATTTTGCAAAGATATGTTTCAGTGTTTTGGTAATATTTAATATGGCCATATTTTATCTTACTAAAATTACAATGTTAAATAAATATACATTATTACATTTTATTATTTGTAAATAAATAATAATAATTATTTTATTTTATATTTCATGAACATGATGCATGATGCCCTTTAAATTAACAATTACAACATACTTAAATAGCATTAAACAATCAAAAAAAAAAGACAGACATACTTCGCATGTGGGTGCAGCCACTATTGTAGATGGGTAGATGGGAAGGTAGGCTACAGAAGAGAAATTAATATCTGTAAGCTACGTTAAACCATTACTAACGAAAAAACAATTCTGAGCCAAGTTTAGTAGATAAATTTACTTTAACAACAATACAATATATGTTATTATGTCATATTATGGTGAAATTATTAAAACAATGTGCGTTTCTATGAAAACAATGATTTTTCAAAAAAGATTAAAATAATAAAAAACTTAATAACAACAGAAAATAAATAAAAAACTGTTGCCAATGACAACCATATTTTTAATCTTTCAATCTTTTTTTAACCTTAAGGCCGAGGTTTTCAAATATTAATGAGGATTTTGAAAAATGACCTCTTTCAAAAAACCACGCAGAGAACATTTCCTTTCAGAAAAGGTGCTATACTTGATAATCAGAGTAAGCTTTCTGGTAGAAAAAATGTTCACATTAAAAAAAATATAAACATCATTTTAAAACCAATACATTCCTCATTCCACTCAGAATCTAAAATAGGTACAATAAATAATAAATAATATGTATTAATAATTAATAAATTAGTACATATATAAATAAATCGAGTATACAGTGACCATATAATTATACAATTAAAAAATAATATATAGTAAGATATTAAGAATTAGAATGTAAAATTGACAAAACATCGTACTAAAATCAAACACAAGACGTATCAAAAAAATCAACAAACATACACACAGATTTTACAAAAGATAAAACTCTAAGCTGCTAAGTTAGTTTTATAATTAGGTACAGAAAACAACACTAACAATCTCATTGAGTGCACTATGTCACTATGGGCATGTCATGCTGAAGCTGTAAAAGCTATTAAAAATAACTATAATGGTTTAATTACTGTAATTGATGAAATATGTCAAAACACTTCAGTACCTGAGATGAGAGCAAAAGGAATTGGTATTTTACTACAACTTTAAAAATTTGAATTTATTTTTGGCATGGAATCAGTAAGTCCTATTTTAAATATAATTTTAAAAGTTATTTCTATGCTACAATCTCCAAAAATTGACCTTTTTTTTGCAGCAAACATTTTTTTAAACATTAGAAATAATGAAGAAGAATACAAAATTATATTTTCTAACACTGAAAAAATCTGTGCAATTCATAAAATAAATATTCCAAAAGTAAAAAAAAAAAAAGTTACAACTAAAATTGATCAGTCTCCTTCAAATCAAGTATTTTTTAAGATTAAGTATGACGAATTAAAAGTTTCTGTATATTACCTATTACTAGATTACCTTATTTCTGGAATAAATTTAAGATTTAAACAAGATACAATTGGCCTTATAAATGGTGTTCCAAATATTCTAAATTTAAATATAACTACTGAAATAACGGTCATTTTGGAAAAGTTTGCAAAAATTTCACCAGACACTCTGATTGCTGAAATCAAAAATATTCCTGAAGGACTCACTACTAATGAATCTGTGTTTTTGTGGCTAAATTGGTTAAAAAACTCCAATAGATATAATACTTTTAGTTGTTTTTTTTTTTTAAATGTTTATTGTTCACAAATGTTTATTATTGTACAAGTTGTTCATGTGAATGGGTATTTTCAAAATTAAATAATGTTTAAATTAAATTAAGAAATACCATAGAATCATTAATTTTATTTTTCATGGAATAAGAAATGGCCTCTAATGTTTAACTAGATTTAGTTATTAATGAGTTTAATAATATAAGTAATAGACGCATGTTATAAATTTATAGCTTTTGTATTAGAATGTTAAATAAAAAACGTAAGTAATGTTTATGTGTACATTATAATTTATTCAAATATTTATTATGTACATGTCTTGTTGAGAGAGGGCCCAAAAATATTGTAGGAATCTCAGAAATACAGGTATACACAAAACCTATGGTTGACATATAAGATATATAAGCTATCTTGTATCTGAAGAAAATTATTTTTTATACTTCATTTTAATTTTTACAATATCTAACATTTCAGTGAATTTATCTAAATAATCTAATTTAGATAATCCTATAGTGGAATTAAGATCTAAATCTGAAAGTTATAATTCCATTATCGTAGTACGCATCATAATTAAAATTTCAGATACATCAACTTAAATTCCAGCATTTTGTTTCAGTGTCATAACAGATTGAAGTGATATCATCTAATCTACACAATTAAATTTATCTAATACCTGTCAAATTTGAAGTTCCGGTGAGTAGGTCTCATAACTCTTTGCATACATTTCATTTGTAATTGGCTCGTGGTTGAATGTGGAAGACTTTATTTGTCAAATTATGTGAGGGAATTGAACCAGTTTTCAATTTTACGCGCATCCTTGGTGAATTTGCTATAAGTACAATAAAAAAAAAACACAATTTTTTTTAAACAAATATCTCAGTCTCATAAATTTGACAACATGTGGCCATTAACTACATTAATCTTAACCTACCTATTAATATAATATAGATTCTTATCAAAATTACTTGTTTTAAAATGTAGAAAATCGAATTTTGTAAAATGTTTACTACATACAAGAATAGTATTAGTAGTAACATGTTTATGCGTGCACCCATTTTTTCCTCAGAGCGTAGTTCTTTGGAAATATGTGTAAATTCACATCCTCTTGGTATTGTCTATTAAGATAATTATCATTTTAATTAGATTAATTCTATTTATTTTATATTTATCAGAATAATTTTAAAATAAAGTAAAATTTAAATTATACCAATATACTAAGTAACATACCGTGCTGTGCATAGTAGAACATTACAATATTTGTGGATTTTTTTTGGAAATTTGGTTTTTGGAATGTCTGTGTAATAACTGTGATCCATATTCATAGTAATAAACTTACTGAGCTGATATTTGGGTATTCAAAAAAAAATAATTCACGATTTTAAATTTTGATCAAGAATCTTTGATTTTAAATTCAAAAACGTATTTCATCAATGTAATCAGTTGAAGGGAAGCCCTCTTACAAAGTTTCTCGCCAATACCACAAGATGTCAGCCCATTCGCTTTCTATCACGATATTAAAATGGCCGCCAATCGTTATCCAAGAGGTGAATGTTTACAAAAACTGATATGATAAGTGATGAGATAATATTTTGGAACAGTCTACAATGTACATAATATTTAACCCTATATAAGGCCATGAATATTAGTACATTGTTTCTTATCAATACTATAAAACATAAACCTTTCTCTTAGATAAGGATAGAGGCCATTTTGTTGGTGACAATAATAATACCAAGTTCGGCTATTTAGTTGTTTTGTACATCTGTGTTGTCATCCAATCTATAGCCGTAAACTTAGATTATATACTATGGATGCAGCTATTCGTACACTGAATTGTGACCAATATCATCCCTACTACTTTTAAAATTTCATAGTACGCGACACAAACATGCACATGCCCAAAAAATCAGTTGAAAGCTTGACGAATGATACTGTAATAATGATACGTGATAATGTTTAAAATAAAACCAAATTGTTTGATACTGATTTCTTGACATCCGCAGTAAATTTGTGTCGGTGTACCATGAAATTTTAAAGGTGGTAAGGATGATGTTGGGCACAATTTGGTACTAAAGCAATTATACGCATCCATGGTATATGATCTAAGGCACAGAGTAATATATATAAATAGGTTGTTGGGTATATCGCCGATGTTAACTAATTGATGCGCAAAACGTGGATATTTAACAAGGCCTTCATTATTGATAAAAATATTGTAAAACGTACCGCTTATTAAACGTTATCTGCAATGTTATCCTAGAGTATTGAGTCAACTCTCAAGTTCACAATTCATTTCATTATGGCCCGGTTTTTCAATCTCATTTATTCGTCGATAACACGACTTATTTGACAGATAAGACAAAAATTGATAATTTTCGGTTTTCCATGTCGGAGTAAACTAGTAAAGCTTTTTGATGAAAAAAGTGCAGAATAACTTATTATATAGTTATTACTATATATTTTCTACCAAATAATAATTTATATGACGAATAAGTATTTCATATCAAGCGTAAACTTGTGACATCTCTGGGCTAAAATATAAGTTAGGTTTCCAATTACCCTGTTATTCAAAACAATGCGTATTTTGTTTAGTTTATACCTACTTGGTACTTACACAGCCTATAGTACTTGAATTGAAGTCTTATGCTATTTTTTGCAAGCAATTATTTTTATTTTTAGATTGTTTTCCAAAATATTTCTATTTGATAATGCATACTTCAATAAACAAAATAATTGTCGCTCAAATCCTCTGCCATTGTTCATTACAATGTATGATATATTAATACAATATGTTTATACTTGAATTTTTGGTTGTAAAATATATATACAGTACATTTTGTCGTATACTTTTATACTTTAATTAAGTAGGTATAGATAAAAAAATATTATATTAATTAATTAATAATTAATAGGAATTAATTTGAACAATAATAAAAATATATATTATATGATACTATAACGTTATGGAGCTAAACGACTGTTGTATATGGGAAGGTCGCTACATTCAATTTATATAGTATGTCAACAATTAATCATTGCTAACAAAAACGATTCTAAGCCAAGTTCAATTATATACAATTAGAAATGCTGTCAATTTCTATTAAATTTGATCCTAAGGTATGAGTACTGTAAAGACTATTCTACGACAGTACTATAACGGAAGGAGTATATTGTTTACACACAATTAATTAATACTCATTTATGAAAGCTAGAAGTATAAACTATTTTCATTTATTATTAGTATAATTAATGACTAACTAATAATAACTGGTTGCAAATGTTATCATTATTAAAAAATCAATATAGGTACCTAATTATTCTGTGAAATTTGCTTGTATTTATTATTATTTTTAACAAAATTTAAAATAATGAAACCATTATTTTCGTAAATATGGTACGAAGATCGATGTTATAGCAGCATAGGGTTTTATTTTAAACATACTAAATATAAAGTAATACTGATATAAATTAAAATAGGTTGCATCTATATAGTAATATAAAAAAAATAATTTAAATTTCCTATTTACTTTCCTAGTTGCATACTTTACGAGTAATAACATGTCAAATCTTGTTTAAGTATAGTGTAAGGACTGATATGTTGTGTTCATTGCAGTCTTATATTAACCTATAAGTTTATTTGTTAATCACTAATTTAGTATTACTGTGCTCAAAGTATTTAAAAACTATAACCTTTTTGTTCACTTATAATTCAGAATTTTTTTTAAAATTATTATTATAACTTTATTATTATTTAAAATTGAGCAAGTCTAGTGTGATTTGGGATTATTTTCAACTTGATCAAGATAACATTAATGTTAAATGCGGTCTTTGTCATATAAAATTAAAAAATAATCGTACTTCAACATCCAACTTAATAAGACATATGATGTCTAAACATCTCACTGTTAGCATACTCAATAGAAATGTGCATGTATTAGAAGAGACCATTGTCGACCAAAATCATGCTCCATCAACCTCTACTACTGTAAATTAAATTAAACAATATTTTAGAAAAATAGTATAATTTTAAACAACTATCAGATTTATTTTGGTTGTTATATTTATAATTTAAACATTTTTAGAATTATTGTTAATAATTTCTATTAAAAAATTACAAAATAATTACTTTTCTAAACAATATATATTATATATTTTTAGAATAAAACTGTTTCTACAAATAATTTTGTGGTAAATAAAACTGTAAAATCTCCACAAATTCCATCAATTGAATATTTATTGAATAGTCGTCCTCAAAGTTCTAGGGTTGTGAATAATTCCATCACTCAATATTTATCTAAGCTAGTAAGCGCGTCTCCTAGTAAAATTATAGATCAGCAAGTTCTGCAAATGATCGTGAAAAGTCCTTTCAGTATTATTGAAGACAGAGAATTTGTGAAGCTTTTAAATTCGCTAAATCCCGGGTACACATTTCCGTCCAAAAAAACTCTGACACAATCATTATTACCTGTAATGTATAATGAGGTATATGAACAAGTGAAAGAAGACATACAAGAACATGCAAAATATATTAGTATTACCACCGATAGTTGGACTTCCATTAAAAATGAAAATTATACTGCTGTTACATGTCATTTTATCGATAATAAATGCGAATTAAAGTCATATCTACTTTCTTGTTTTAAAAATTCTGAATCACATTCTTCAGAAAATTTGAAAAACGATTTATTGGCTGTTATAAAGAAATGGGCTTAGAAAATAAAATTGCTGCATGTACAACTGATAATGCTTATAATATTGTTAATGCTGTNTGATTTACATGTTGTTTTTTTTATATAATACCTTTATAGGGGAGTTTACAAAAATTCAAAAAAGTCCATCCAGAAATTTAAATCCACGATTTTATTTTTGATAGATGTAGTCACGAGTAAATGAACACAGTATATCACACATATGTGAAAATGTAACCTGTTGGAAATAAACTTTATAAACCAGTGTTTAACCAATTTTATCAATTGAATGTCTATTGAATAGTCATCCTCAAAGTTCTAGGGTTGTGAACAATTTCATCACTCAATATTTATCTAAGCCAATAGGCGCGTCCTATTAATAAATTATAGATCAGCAAGTTCTGAAAATGATTGTGAAAGAGTATTATTCTTTCAGTGCTGTTGAAGACAGAAAGTTTGTGAAGCTTTTAAATTTGCTAAATGCCGGGTATACAAACAAGCCATACAAGAACATGCAAAATATGTTAGTATTACCACAACGATAGTTGGACTTCCATTAAAAATGAAAATTATATTGCTGTTACATGTCATTTTATCGATAATGAATGCGAATTAGTCATATCTTCTATTTTGTTTTAAAAATTTTGAATTAAATTCTTTAGAAAATTTGAAAAACAATTTATTGGCTGTTATAGAGAAATGGGGCTTAGAAAATAAAATTTCTGCATGTACAACTCATAATACTTATAATATTGTTAATGCTGTTAATTTATGTAGATGGAGACATGTAGGTTGCTTTGCCCATAGTTTGAATTTAGCAGTACAAACAGCTCTTAAATCAATACTTGAAACTAGGGAAAAAGTAAGAGGAATTGTTGGCCATTTTAAGAGCAGTCCACAGGCATCAGAAAACCTCAAAACCATGCAAGAGCAATTAGGGTTAACACCACCTTTAATGCTCATTCAAGATGTCATTACACGTTGTAACTTGACGTATGAAATGTTCTAACAAATTAACAATCTTAAAGTTCCTCTTTCTTGGGTCTTAGTACAGTGCAATTACAATATTTACTTGACCAATGAAGACTGGTACATTATTTCCAAGTCATTTGAGATTTTAAAATATTTTAAGGAAATTACACTAGAAATAAGTAGTGAAAAATCTGTTTCTATTTCATAATCTGTTGTATTTAGTTGAGCGCTTCTTAAACATTGTACATACTTGGATACACAACTATATAATTCATCTCAACTAACAAGTATGATACGCACGTTAAAAAACTAAGTAGAACAGAGATTTTAAACACTTGAAAAAATACAAATTTATGCTGAAGCTACAATACTCGATCCGAGATTCAAAAAAATGGATTCTTCAACACCAGTTCATTTTCTGAAGGAAAATAAAAACATTAATTAGTAGAGCTACTGTAGTAAACATTGGAAATTTAAATAATATACAGCCGGTTATACCAAATCAAACTTCAATTTTGGGCAGAGATTCTATTTGGAATGAATTTAATGAAGTGGTAAGTAGTCAGTTGGGATCTACAAATTCAACTTCTGCAGCTATTGTTGAAATTGATAAGTACCTTCAAGAAGGATTAATACCAAGGCATGAATGTCCTTTGAAATGGTGGAAGGACAATCAAAATGTTTATCCACGTTTATTTGAAAATATGAAAAAACGTCTTTGTGTACTAGCAACATCAGTTCCGTGTGAAAGAATATTTTCTAAGACATGGCGAACATTGACAGAAAAAAGAAGTAGGTTAAGTATTAAAAATTTCGAAAAAAATGATCTTTATAAACTTTAATTCAAAATAGTGTGCTTTTGATATTTTTATATGTACCTATTATTTAATTATTTAATCTTATTTCCTTGATTTGAAAACAATGAAACATTGTATGAACATATNAAATAATTACTTTTCTAAATAATACATATTATATATTTTAAGAATACAACTGTTTCTACAAATAATTTTGTGATAAATCAAACTGTAATATCTTCACAAATTCCATCAATTGAATGTCTATTGAATAGTCATACTCAAAGTTCTAGGGTTTTGAACAATTCCATCACTCAATATTTATCTAAGCCAGTAGGCGTATCTCGTCGTAAAATTATAGATCAGCAAGTTCTGAAAATGATCGATGAGTATTATCCTTTCAGTGTTGTTGAAGACAAAGTTTGTGAAGCTTTTAAATTTGCTAGATCCCGGGTACACACTTCCGTCCAGAAAAACTCTGACAAAATCATTATTACCTGTAATATATAATGAGGTATTTGAACAAGTGAAACAAGACATACAAGAACATGCAAAATATGTTAGTATTACCACCAATAGTTGGACTTCCATTAAAAATGAAAATTATATTGCTCTTACATGTCATTTTATCGATAATGAATGCGAATCAAAGTCATATCTTCTTTCTTGTTTTAAAAATTCTGAATCACATTCTTCAGAAAATTTGAAAAATTATTTATTGGCTGTTATAAAGAAATGATGCTTAGAAAATAAAATTGCTGCATGTACAACTGATAATGCTTATAATATTGTTAATGCTGTTAATTTATGTAGATGGAGACATGAAGGTTGCTTTGCCCATAGTTTGAATTTAGCAGTACAAACAGCTCTTTAATCAATACTTGAAACTAGGGAAAAAATAAGAGGGATTGGTGGCCATTTAAGAGAAGTCCAGAGGCAGCGGAAAACCTTAAAACCATGCAAGAGCAATTAGGGTTAACACCACCTTTAATCCTCATGCAGGATGTCATTACATGTTGAAACTCAACGTATGAAATGTTCCAACGAATTAACAATCTTAAAGTTCCTCTTTCTTCAGTCTTAGTAGAGTGCAATTATAATATTTACTTGACCAATGAAGACTGGTACATTATTTCCAAATCATGTGAGATTTAAAAATATTTTAAGGAAATTACAGTAGAAATAAGTAGTGAAAAATCTGTTTCTATTTCAAAATCTGTTGTATTTATTTGAGCACTTCTTAAACATTGTACATACTTGGATACATAACTCTATAATTCATCTCAACTAACAAGTATGATACACACGTTAAAACAACAAGTAGAACAGAGATTTGGAACAATTGAAAAAATACAAATTTATACTGAAGCTACAATACTCGATCCGAGATTCAAAAAATATGGATTCTTCAACATCAATTCATTTTCTTGTCTGAAGGAAGAAAAACATTAATTAGTAGAGCCACTGTAGTAAACATTAAAAATTTAAATAATATACAGCCAGTTATACCAAATAAAACTTCAATTTTGGGCGGAGATTTTATTTGGAATGAATTTGATGAAGTGGTAAGTAGTCAGTTGAGATCTACAAATCCAACTTTTACAGCTATTGTTGAAATTGATAAGTACCTTCAAGAAGGATTAATATTGAGGCATGAAAGTCCTTTAAAATGGTGGAAAGACAATAAAAATGTTTATCCATGTTTATTTGAACTTATGAAAAAACGTCTTTGTGTACTTGCAACATCAGTTCCGTGTGAAAGAATATTTTCTAAGGCAGGGCAAACATTGACAGAAAAAAGAAGTAGGTTAAGTAGTAAAAATTTCGAAAAAATGAACTTTATAAACTTTAATTCAAAATAGTGTGCTTTTGATATGTTTATATGTACCTATTATTTAATTATTTAATTTTATTTCCTTGATTTGAAAACAATGAAACATTGTATGAACATATCTCCTATAAAATAAATAACAAAAATACGTTTTAAAAAAATGTAGGTACCTACTCAATAAAAATATGCAATTACTTACTTAGGTAGGTATATCATAATAATATATACTAAATACTGTTAGGTATCTTAATACCTATTGTATAATGTATTAAATATCTACTATTTCTCGTTTCCGGTAATATCGTTTTGTTAAACATGAAAAAAGAAACTTACTCCAAACAAACATTAACGATAAATGTATTAAATTACTAAGTGACTTGCAACAATTGCAACGTGCTTGTACTACATAAAACTATTATACATTTATATCATTCAATATCAGTATATTATCTATTATCGAATATTTATGCATTTTACGTTTTAATATCACTGCCATCACAAGTTGCTAACATACCTATTTAATTTTTCATAACATAACGTCATAAAATCACTTGTCATTACACAATAATAGAATTTCATATTATGTATATTGTAGCATAGCAGGCGAATTGTCGGACTGATAACACACATCCGTGATTCGTGAATTGTATTGAACCAGTAGATTCGTGAATCATTGTTTTGAACCAGTGGTAGCACTGAGTCACTGAACTATACCACACTCATTCAGTTCACCTAAAAAAGTCAACTCATTCGCTAACTACCTACCTCTATTTTATAGTAATTTTTTATTTTGACTATTACTTCATATGTGTTTAGTGTTAAATAATTATTATTTAAATTAATAATTCGCATAATGCCTAGTTGTATTGTATGTGGAAGAGCAAAAAATCAAAATTCTAAATCTGCTAATATATCTTTTCACGGGTATGATTAAAAATGTACATCTAGACGTTTGAAAATATAGTGTAATGTTTATTTCAGGTTTCCTACTAAACATAATATTAGAGAAAAATAGGATAATTTTTTAGTAGCAAACTATCTAAATCCAAAAACCGTGACCAAATATAGTGTGATTTGTTCATTACATTTTGAAAAATCATGTTTTTCAATGAAACAACATAGAAAGTTACTATACAAACATGTATTTCCATCAATTGTTGGTCGAATAAAATTTGTAAGTTTACAATAACTATTATATTCATTTTTTTTTTATACAGTTAACCTATCTATAATAATATTTTTCTTAGGCAAAACAACAGTTTACTGAAAGTACTAAAACTGTACCAGTACCTCAAATAATTGAAAAAAATAATATTTTAGATTTTGATAAAACTCTTATTAAGGTAAATAATTATTTTAATATTCATTTACGTACATTGTTAATTATTGTAATAATAATATGATTGTTCTTATTATTTAATTAATTATACCTTCCACTTTAAAATTGTTGTTTTTATCTAGGTATCTTCAACAAGTGATGTAGAATTAAATGTGTTCCCTTTGGATGTACCATCTATTTCATCAAAAGTTAGCAGTCATTAAAATTTAAAATTAAATATCCTGTGTAGACATTTTGGTTTAATTAAAGAAATGTATATATATATATTTCCCTACTATGTATTTTATTATATTATAATATATTTTAGTTTTTTAGTGGCCTATACAAAATGTAGAAATCGTTGAGGTGTTTTCAATGTTAAATATATATAATGTTCCTAACTTAAGGTACAATCTATTAATCAAAATTTACCAGAAACTGATGAAATCAAATTTGATCACATTCAGTGGAAGGTATCTATGGAAGAAGAAATGATGGCTCATAATGAGAACAAGACATGGACATTAGTTAGATAACCGCCTAACAAAAAAGTTATTTACAACAAGTGGGTTTTTAAAGTTAAAACTGATGAATGCAGAACGAAGTAATGTTATACAATTTAAAGCAAGACTTGTTGTCAATAATTGTTCTCAAAAAAAGAGTTTTGACTATATGGATACTTATGCAACTATAGCCAACATAGTGACTGTTTGCACATTCCTATCACTGGCAGTATACAAGAACTTGCATTTTATACATGTATGTAATAACTTTTCTGAATGAAATAGTCGAAGAAGTATTGTACATGAGACAACCAGAGGATTTTCAGAAAGGAAACAATTTAGTATGTAAACTAAATAAGTCATTGTATGGTTTAAAACAAGCTCCTTATTGTTGGCATAGAAGATTTAACCAATTTGCCAAAGAGTCAAGAAAACACCAAAGACTTAAACATGCAAGTATCAAATACAACTTCATTAATGAATCAATTTTCAACTATAAAATAAAAATGGACTATGTCCCATCAAAAAATCAACTTGCAGATATGCTTACTAAACCAATATCAGCTTCAAAATTTATGAGACTAAAGAAACTTTTTAATATTAATAAATAGTTGTATTAGTTTTTATGATGTTTTTTATTTACTTGTTTATACTTGAAATTTGAATTACTTTTGTAAATATACGTGCCGTAGTTACAAGATTAAGTGGAAGTGTTATTATCACCTAACTGTTATCACTTATGACTTAACAAATTAGTAATCTTGTTTACTATAAACACTTAATATAAAAAAGAAAAGTATCCATGTTCTGTTTTCTGTTCTACTTGAACCAATGTGGTTGTGTGCATATTATACCGTTTTCCATTTTTGTTCTTATTAATATGTTTTATTCTTTAAGGAGTTTTTGTAATTTATAATAAACAACACAGTCAAATTAAAACCTTGGGTTACTTTAGGTACAATTACATATATTAAAAAAAAAGGAATATCTTTAGGTATTTTAAATTTTTGAAAAATAAGGTCTCAAACAAACCTTCTAACACTATAATAAATAAAAATAAAACATATAGAAATTTACTTAATATCATCACTAAAATGGCTTAAAATATCTATTACTCTTCCAAAATATGTAGTGCTAAAGGTAATATCAAACAAAGTTGGGATGTAATAAATGAAATCATTTAAAAAACACAAAACTAAGAATAATAAAATATAAAGACTAACCTATTGATGATAAAGGGATTGAACTAGAAAATCAAATGTCTATTGCTAATATTTTCAATAAATACTTTTCCACAGTCAGATATCAAATATCTTCTAAAATTATACTTAATGGTTACAATTAAAACATTTTTTTTAAATTTAAATTCAAATTGTTTCATCAAAGATTTTATTGTTCTTACTGTTGATACTGCTATTATGAATAAATTAAATAATAAAAATGCCAAAAAATGTTTAGATATTTTTAAAACATGGTATGACAATAATTTACTTAGATTAAATCTAAAAATTCTAATTATATAAAATTCAATATAAATAGTCAATCAAATGGTGATGAATGACAAAAACAACACTGCTCATTCTTTTAATTGTAAGTTATTTTTAGAACTATGTAATTTATTGTACTATTATTAATCATATAGACAAAGTAAAATATCTTGGAATCGCCATTGATAAATCTATTAAATGGAATCACCATATTCTATATTTAGTCCAGATTATTAAAAAAATCACATAATAAATTTAAATTATTAAGAAGTTGTATTGACATAAAATTAATTAGAACAGTCTATATGTCAATAGTCCAGTTTATTATCTCATATGACATCACATTCTGTGATGGCACCTATTTACAACATCTAAAACTAATTACCATTTTAAATAGTTTTATAAAATTAACCCTGTGCAATCCAAGACTATACATCCTATACTTTATATACAGAATTTAATGTATTTATTATCGATAAACTATACTACTAGAATCTTTTACTTACAATGCATAAATATAATTATTTCTTATATGAGACTAAACTAGAAATACGATTACTTCTAAATTTAATTTGTATAAATCAAATACTCTTTTAGGACAACAGAGTCCAAGTAATAAATGTACCAAATTCTGTAAATCTTTAAATATTAATCTTTACTATTTTCATAACTGCCTTATTTAAGAAATGTATAATTAAACTAAAATTTGAACAAATCGTGTTATTAAGTGTACACTAACTTTAGACTTATTTTCATATATTAATTCATTATGTAGACTATTCACATGAATATTATTATAAACCACTTATTTCAATTATTATAAGTATAAAGTATGTATATAATATCAATAGGATTGCTAATAACTTATAACTTTTTTTTTTGTTAATTGAATCTTATCAATGATAACTGATAATGTACTCGTTAATACAAAGAGCCACCCCTCTTGTATTAGGTTTCATGTATACATATATGAGTTTCTTTGTACAACCATAACTCTTACACACCTTAACCGATTTAGATATGTGTGTGGTATCGTTAGAATATCCTTAACTCCGAAGAACATTTTACTCCGATTAAGTGACGTCTTAAAAAGATTAACGGGAAGACCGAAAATAATAATTAAAAACTACTCTATTACACGTATGGATTACTAGTTGAATACGTTTACTTATGTTAAGTTATTTTTGTGTATTTTTTAAACGACACATTTTTTTTTTAAAACTTTTTTTATACATTACTTACTGTTTAATGTATTATTGTATTATAAATTATCAACCCATTAACTCCTAATAACGAATTTCTCTGAAATCACCCATAATAACAGTTATTAGTTGAAATTGCACGCAATGCGTTTATACACATTATAGAAACATTTTGAACTAGTGAACGACCGTAGACTATGGTTTGCTGTCACTATAATTGAATGTCGTCGTTATTTATAGCAATATTGACCTAATTAAAAAAATAAAAAATCCATATTAATATAGGATAATTTAGAAAAACAAAAGGTAACTATATAAATACCTGAATCACCCATTAAAATAAAAACTTAGATATTATAACTGTGGACATTGGAAATATTTTGACGAGCGATAATGTAATAAACACAAATAAAAAATGTATACATACACCACATTGAATATTCTGGGTGAAGGAAACTTAAAGGTATATACTGGGTAGGTACATAATTACATTATATATTTCAACATTTGTATTTGATTAGTTATGTGTGTATGTATTTTGCTTAATTCACAAATCCTCTCGGTAATATTTTTGAAATCATTGTGAAAAAATAATAATAACGGATGTGATTATGTTAGGGTGCATGGTTGATCGTTTTATATTGTTACGGTTATTTTAATTTTATTTGGGTCAAGTACGTACAATAGATGTCTACTCATTTGTTTTACGAAATTTTTTCACGTTCAAACCTATCAATGTTGAGGTATACTATTCGTATCATAAACTACACGAATTTCGCATATTGTGTATTTTTCTCATAATATAGGTACTAATTATAGATAATATTGATCGTTAAAATATACGCAATTAATAGCTGGACCACCTATAATACATAATGTCAATAATACCTACATAAAACATCGAAAACACTCTTGGAAAAAGTAAAAACTAGTTGTAGTTTTACTAATTATATTAAGCCTTAACTGTAGGTTTCCATGTATTTGTATTTATGTGGATTGGTATCGTCGGTTCATAAATGATCCGTAAGTTTAACTATTTATAATAACTTTTGAACCTTTGAATTTTGTTTTCGTATTATATTCAATGTATTCAAATGAACATTTTTTTTTTTTTTTATCAAATATTAGCATTCTGTATACACTTTTTTTAATCTTGCAATTTAGATGAATGATTAAAAAAGTTTTTTAATTATTTAAACTTTGAGTGGAGTTGGAAATGTATTGGTTTTACTATAATAGGCGTTTATTTTTCTGTCTGTTAACAACTTTTCTACCAAAAATCTTGCTTCAAAAGAAAAAAATATTTTTTTTATAGCAATTTGAACCTAGTTGGCGCATTGAGGAGGTAGTTTTTTGATTTGCCGAGTGGTTTTAATAATAATTCGAAAAAACCGTAAAGGTCATAGGACAAATAAACAGCAAAAAGTAGCATTACCATTGATTTTTTTTTTCCTAGACAGTGACGTAAATTGGCCTGTGCAAACATAGCACTTGTACCACCTATAGCGCACGTAAGATTATTTTTCGGAGGGACGGAAATAATAATTTCCTAGTTATGGGATAGTACATATTATTAGTACAATATATAAAATTACCATTATTACTGAATAAATCATACCATCTAGCACCCCTAGTTGCTCCTATACCCTTAATTGAACGCGAATGATAATTATTTACTACTATAGTATTATTGTTATTAATATACTTATTTTTATTTTTTTTAAATTTTTATTAATTTATATAATAGTTAAGTACTCGATTAACATTTGTTTTACTTCATTATATATATATGTTATTTTTTTTTTACTTTCCTTTTCTCGTTATTATTTATTTATTTGAATTCTACACTGTTAACTCCTAGGCTCACACATGAACTTAATCAGTGGACCATTAACTTTTAAATAATAAAATAAATAATTGTATAATACTAATATTTATAAATAATAAAAAATTATTCTAATTTGGAAACCATTGAAAATAATAAGTATTTAAAACAATGGAAAAATATCTATTTACCGAGGTATTTACTTAAAAACATGTTACAAAAAATTAATAAATTATATTCCGTTACGTAAATATAAAAAATTTACCTTTTTATAATATTTCATACCTATAAATCTACACGTATTATTAGCATAAAATGAAGTACCTATTACTTACAGTTTTAAACAATATCAGCATTATTAAACATCACGATCAATAACTATGCCTATACCTACGTAGATACAGTAATTATTTTTAAATTGAAAAAAACCGAATGGATTGGTATTTGTATAATTATAAATTCCCATGTCTAAACGGTTGTTTTAATTACATTTTTACAGTTTAATTTAGATTTGTATACGTATAGTATTATACTCGTATACTACGAATCATAATAAAACAACGTAATTAACCGTTCCCGTACGTAACCTCTATAATGTATTCTATAATGTGAAAATATTATGTCCAATGTTTACTTGAAACTTCACGGAGTGATAATACCCGTTATTATGCTTATTACATCTTAAAAACAAAAACATTGTTGAGATCCAAACACGATTCTCAGAACGATTAAAATTCGGACGAGGTTCAATATTGCGGGGGTCTCACGACAAATTAAATTAAGTAATCATGTCGAAAAACGATCGGCGCTCAACCTGTTGGGTATAGTTAGGTACGTTTAATCTGCGTCTGTAAAGTCATGACATTATTATGCATAAATACTATAAATAGCGTGCAATGTAATATTATGTCGGTGGACAAAATATTGTTCGTCGACAAGGACACGTGACACGCACAATGACTCAGGTGTACGCAGCCACGAAAAAGAGTGCCCTCACCAATCGCCGATATTGTTACTTTTATCGCCCGAGGCATTATAAATACGTGCCTATTATTATCCTATTACAACTGTATGGTACAGCGATAGAATGTTGAACGATATTTGAATACGCAGGGGATTTGTTCATTATTAATAATAATAATAATAACAATAATTTTTATTATTATTTGTGTTTACGAAGCGTTTATTGTTTAATACTGGTATTATGTAGGTCGATTTCAAAATAATTCGTTAGTTTATTATTTTTTATTTATATTTCCATCAACCCGTTAACGATATACGCGAGTTTTATGTTTAGGTAGGGGGAGAATAGTAGTAAAGTATCATTTGTGTGGCGATAGGGCAACATTTTCAGTTTTTGGTACGTTGGTTTTTTCTCGGTGTTTTAATATTTAAGTGAGTTACAAACATGTGAAATATAATAATTTAAAAACCGTCGAATCTTGATTAAAAATTGAAATATCGAGAAAAAAAGCCTACGTACAAACACAACGTGCACAAATAGCAAATTATTTAAAACAGCACAAAATAGGTTATAGTATAATTATTACGACATTAACCGATTTTACAACATAAACCGTATCATAACATATGTTATTTGTTTAATACCTGCAATAATAACACGTGTATTTATACGATTTGGTATTTAAAACAATTCCATTGATATTATTATTAATTTAACCGATGAAAAATATAATCGGTAATCAAAGGTGGGTGTATAATAACGATTTTTAAAAAATATGACGTTAAAATATAACAATAATTTAATATTTATTGTTTACCACAAGTAAATAAATAGGTACTAAATAATAATAATAATAACCACAAAAAAAAGTAACAACGAAAAATCTTATGTTAATTTGTCGAAAATGATAAATGTGCAGTGTACCTATTTGGAAATTCTAAACATTATAATAATATAAAATATTGTTTTATATTTTACACCTAACGCGCGCGCACAGTTATTATAACGGATAAATATTCATTTTTAACGAAATAATTTTTAAAAAAGTGTGCTTTATATACATCGTAAGTTGCATGCGTTTTTATATCCGTAAATCTATGTTTTTTAAATCATTGATAAAAGCAGGATCTATTTTTATGTGTAATACCAAATCTGTTGTGTGTAGTACGAAATTATTAAATGTGTAGTACGGAATTATATAATGTGTAGTGTTATAAACAAATATATCTAAACTATGTTTTGTTGTTAAAGTATTTTTTAATTGTGTATCGAATTTAGAATAAGTATATCAAAGAGATTTATCAAGTACAAAGTATTTTAAAATTTGTTATTTATTATTATGATGTTTTAAAACTTGTTTTCTTAATACTTGTTGGAATTAATTTGCTGACTTTGAATGAGGAATTAAACCCAAAGAAACGTTATTTAAACAATTTTTTTGAAAAAATAATGTATAAATAAAGTACAAACTAAATTATATTTGGTAATATTTTTTTTTTTAAGTTTATTTCTTACATTATCCATACATTTCTCTTTGATAAAGTTTAAACCTGGAAATATTTATTCAAAAAAAAAAAAATTGTAAACAACTATTAATATTAAAAATATTAGTGAAATAATTGTATTTAAGGATATGTGGCCAAATTTTATTTTATGGCCATGAATTTGTGGTTTAAACTAAAATGTGCGTAATACGAAATATTACAAAAAAATAGGCCCTGGTTAAATGTAATAAAATAGAGAAACGTATGATTATAGCAATAATATATTAATATTGTATGGCAATCATTTAAAAACAGATTCAAAAGTCTGCCACAGTGTGTCGTGTCTGCATAATAATATTATTATACTCGCGTGAATGAATAATAATCGTTTCTTCGCAAACAACGTAAAACAATCCGAACGGGTAATTTAATCTCCTATATAAGATATCTACAACAAGCAATACGAAGGAGTTTATCTTGACAGGTGTACAATTATAATTTGAACTAAAATTGCAATATTCACTATTTATCTATACATAGGTATGTTAAATATTATCCCTCCTACATTTTTTTCATTTTTATTACGATAAAAATCTTATCGTCTACATAATATTATAGGAACTCGAGTGTCTATATATAAATAGAAAACGACCGACTATTATTAAATCATAGTAAAATTATTTATTTTTAAAACAGAAATATAAAAAAAATCAGAAGTGTAATATCTTTATTATCTCCGGAGATATTACAATGGGTATATCTTCGTGTCTCGTGGGTTACCTGTATACGAAATCGTATGCCTCTGGCATCATTTGGGGTCTATAAGGGTGCCTAATGCTAAAAAAACACTTCTTTCCAAACATGGTAAAGTTCATACTGAAATTCAACCAAATTTCAATACGTCTATATTAAAATTATCTCGAGTTTGAACTAATTTGGTCCAGAGAGCGCCGCTAAAAGTGTCCAAAATTAACGGGGAATATATTACATAAATATATAACAGACACAATACGCAATACAACAGTCTCTATTTTTGTGGAAAATTACACAATAAATTATTATTAACAATAGGTAATAGTTTTAATTGCTTAGGTAATTATATTTATGATTTATTATTGTTTAACCATAATTTATTACGAGCTAAATATTGAGCAACTTTGAAGTTGAGCATATAATGGGATATTTTGTACTAATACACAGTAGTTAAACTAATTACCTATTATTGATAGTGTCATGTTATCAATATACAATAGTTGATAACAACTGATAAACAGTAGATAGCAATCGGTAAACAGTAATTGATATCAACGAGAAAAGATAACGACGAATAACTTACTAGTATAGTCAACCAAAAAGACATTGCAACTTTTAGTTTCTGTCAACCTATTGACGAGATATTCTATTTTTAAGCTTGAGTAGATATAAAGTTGTGATGCATTATTATTAACACGCCGCGTACACCACACAAATTATGCTCCACTACTTTCTCTCTACCTATACTTAAAAGTGGAATATCTCATCAACGGGTTGACGGAAATAAAAAATTTAAACACTAACATTTATTGTTATTAACTATATTATATAACTAATGCTTCATCTAGCTATGAAATTTTTAATATAGGTTGCTTGAAAATCAATATTTGGCAGTGGTTTTCTCCGCAATAATAAGGGTGAAGAAAAATAACATAAATATAAAATTGCAGAGCTTGTTCCTTAACATTTTCTAAAAACCAAATTACGAAAAACGTTAATATTTTACAAAAATAATGAGTGTACCCACTAAAATAGATCACCTTGTATATTCTGTAATATTAATATATTTAATACAAATATCGTAGACAAAAAACGTTTTATTTGTTTTAGTAAAAAATTAAAGGTTAAAATAAAATGTAACTTGCAGTGCCGCGTAGTAATCTGAATTGTAAATAATCTTATAAGTACTTTTAGATTCAGACCACTGTGTGGCGCTGCAGGTTATATTTTTCTTTTAGTATTCATAACATCAACTTTCCAATATACTTGTATGGTTAAATCAAAATTAAGAATTTTGCGAGTTATGAGTTCGAAAATTTCAAATAATATCTGAATAGAACGGAAAAAACTATATGAGAAATAAAAAATAAATCGACCTTGTTAAATACAAACGTTTTTACTCGAATTATTATCAAATCGACATGGAAAACTAAAAAAAAAAAAACCGACCAGCTTCTGCACGAAATAGAAAAATAAGGTAGAAAACAAACCCATGTAAATTGAAATAATAAATCTTTTATAATAAAATAATAAAGTAAAAACAAAATTATTGAATATTTACCTCCGTAAATTTGTTTGTTTTTCTAATATTTTATCCTATTTTCTCCAATTATTATGAAAATTGCTTAGAAAATCAAAAAATTATCCATATTTTTCCAACCATTAGTTACAGATACCTGGTCGTTTTTCCACACAAGAAAATTATCAATCGGTAAAAAATTGTTTTAATGAAATACAACAATAGTCATAAATATTGTTCGGATCATGAATATTGTAGGTACGTGAGAGAACAAATCGTTTGAATACTCGTATTTCGCCCCTATATAATTATACGCCCTCTGAATAATGATAATATATCTTTACTTTTACGTTCCTAGCAGTCTAATACCTATATTCAATATGCGGCGCATAGGTATTTATTTTTCATCGAGCGATTGTTATCGCGTAGATAACAATGTGTACAGTAACGAGCGCAATGCGTGGTAGTATATCGATTACTATAATGTTAAAATGCGCTTTTAAAACGTCAACGATTTTACTGTAATCAAATGTTTCAATAATGCGTACTTACCTATCCGTACGATATCATCGGCACTCTATTTCGCCCGGTCGAATTATTTCCCCTGGACGTTTTAGTAATTCGATATTGGAACAGTTGAACCGTTTCGTTCGGGGCTTTTCATTTCGACTTGGGGCTCCCGAAAATCGTTCACAATGCCCAACGAAAACACCGCGATACCCGTTTACCTCAAAGACCGTAATTTCGTCGAATACGAACAGCGGTTACGACCGAATACGTTGATCGGCGTAATGGCGGCCGATCCGACCGACACCGGGTTCAATTCGAAAAAACGCAAAGGACATAAAGGTACTCTATACAAACGAACGGATTTTATGAATTCGGTTTATTTTCAGTGGCGTAAATTGGATGGTGTACATTTGCAAGGTTATATTTTCGCACTAGCGGAAAATCACAAGAAAATTGTATAGGTAATACCTATGATTTCTATTCTATTTATTATTTGCGTCTCAATCCCAGCGCAACGAGTTATTAACAGTTTGATTAGGTACCAACATAATATTATGATACTATTAATATTCGGATGGTCGGGTATCTACATGCACTCTACAGATATAGATAATAATATACGTATGTTGACATAGTACTCATCTGCACTCTCTTCAAATAATCTTGATTCGTAATTGTAATTGTATATTGTTATCGAGGTTATACTGCCAAAATAGTGCGTTTTCAGCTATCTCTGTTCATTTATTTTTCAGATTGCATATTGTCTTAAATTTTTAGACAATTCGATTTCACGTTCTCGCGACTGTTTAGTGTTTCTTGTTTTAAGCTGCACTGCTTCAAATTTTAATTTGTATGCCTGTTAGTTCTTTCTCTCTCAAAATGAGTAAACCAATAAAAAGGAGAACGATTAAAGATTTTTTTTTTTAAAACAAATTTATTAATAATAATTGTATAGCTGATTGTTCAAAATATTAAATAATTGTCAACAATTTAATCATTACCATTTAACATTTGAATACAATCTTAGGTGTTATACTCAATTAAGGCTTGACTAGTGTGACCAGACCCGATTTAGGCAGGATGGTATCGATTTTTTAATGGGCGTTAGTTTTTAAGTCTAGCCATTACGATAAAATGTACCGATTTTCATTAAACGTCCCACTTTTGTCTTGATGTCATAATTTTAATGTAATATTTTATATGAACCCAACTACTATGAAAACGTCCAATAATATTAGATTATCTGCATTTACTGCACGTATGACCAAAGAGCAGATTTACAAAGAAAGTTGGAGTATCGGTAAGTTAATGATAACAAATTTGAATGTTTCTTTGTACCACCAGAGATTGAGGGCAATTTACGCCACTGTTTATTTTGTTCGACTTTTAGATAAAGTCTTTTAGGCACTTTTAGACGTTTACACAATGTACATATTAAAAATATTATTACAATAGTCGTGTTGTAGATCAAGGATCAATTTCATATGAAATTATGTATAATTATATTTGAAATGTATATGAAATTGCGTAAAAAACAAAATAAAATCATGTTCTATGTGGCAGATTTTGAAATAAAAGATGACCGCGGTATGCCGGTAAACTACGTGCGAATAAAAGAGCTAGAAGAAAATATACGGAAGGAGATAATTAGCGACAAAAATTCGTTACACAGATCCATCACCCCCGTGATGATGTTGGCGCATTTTTTCGCACTAATACCAGTGCAGGGCATCAACGGACAAAACACTAGTAGTTTGGTGTGAGTAAATTTACCTACGTAGTTATTCAATTTTAAATCTATAACTTAAAACAACGGATATACTTCACACGGTGGGTGGACTACAGTTGTAGTTAGGAAGTGGGGAATGTAAGATATAGAGGGAAATTTAATGTGTATATATGTACGAAATGATTAATCACCGCTAACGAAAAACGATTCTGAGTGGAGTTCAGTTATACATGTTTTGAAGGCCGACATCTTTACAATTTTTGTCAACATTTGACTAAAAACTATTTTTTAATAATTTTAAAATATACTCATTCTTTTTTTTTACCACAAAATATGATTTATAATGACATACAGTAAAATGTTCAAACATTTCTATTTGGTCTAAAAGTTTTATTCACAGAATACCAACCAAATAAAAATTATGTGAAAAACTAACAAAATTAAATGTCTATAAATACCTCAAAAATGGCTAACATTTTACCACTTATAAAAAAAGTAAGTATAAGATTTTTGTCCAAATTTCAAAAATATATGAATATTTTTAACTAAATCAAAATAAAAAAAAACTAGAAAATAATTAATTTAGTAAATTTTTCCGTTTTTCCTGGGTTTTCAAAATTATTAGGAAAACGGTTTGAAAAATCAAAAAAAAAACTTTCTTAAAGTACTACCCAGTTTAAATATACTAAATATAGTAAAGAATATATAATATACTTAATAATTGAAACCAGATTTCTAGAAGTTGTTTACAGATAAAAACTTAAAAAAAAAATTAACATCATTGTAAAATCATTGAGCTTCGCAATCACAAAAATATAAAGCAACTATACTGTTTTTTAAATAACGTTGATAATATAATAATATAATGTTATTCAACTTTAAGTTTACCTTCAATTTTTCCTAGGTTTTAGTTTAACTTTATTCTGTCGTTGTTTGACATTTCTAATTTCCGTATAATACGTTTTTTTTATTTTTTTTTTCAACAATATCGTTTTATAAAAGTTAAAATAAACTAAAATGTCAACTTTTTGACCGATAAAGACGAACCTTCGTTTCAATATAAAAACATTCGGATGAAAAATATTAGCCAGACAATGGAATTTGTGTTTATAATTACGTATCTTGGTAAAAACAGATAACTGATAGTAAAGAAAAATTGTAGGTACCTATTACCAGTGGTGCCGAATCCTATGTATGTAGACCGAACTTTGGCCCGACGTTTCTTTTAAAAGTTAGGCGAGATAATAATTTGGATTGGTAACATTTAGGACCGAAGTTTATTTGCCAAACCTAACAAATATCTTTGGGCATTAATAGGCCTGTGTTTAGTCAAAGGGGTCACTCGAAATTTGTTTTGCGGAATACATTTTTATGACTTTAGTGCGAGCGCTTATTATATTTT